CAGCTCCCCTCCACTCCCCCCCCCTCAGCAAAAACAGTACATCACAGTCGAAATTCCAGAAACCACCAGAGTCCGGCAGCAGAATCGTGCTTTCTCAGGCGCCATTTAAATCGTTCTTATTTCCACTCGCTAGCGAATCGCGTCTCGGAAACGTCCGCAGCACCGAGCGACGAATGAAAAATATGTCGGTCCGAACGGCGAGAAAGGAAAAGCGAGGAAAGGAAAAAACGAGTTAAGCGCGGGGCGCGTCGAGCGGTGCGCCGCTCCTGAGTGAAGATCAACAAGTAGTTACAGCGGTGGGGGGAGTTCTGTTTGTATGCCGGCGCGGGGCACGGCAGCGCGGGGTGCGCGGGCGGCGGGGCGCGGCGGTAGGTCGTCGGCGTAAACGCGAGGGGAGGGAGCGAGCGAGAGGAGCCGAAGACGAATGGCCGAGGGACCGAGAGCGACCGAGCGAGACCGGCCGCCAGAGGGAGCGAGACCGACCGGCTAGCGTCGGAGGGGGGACGCCAGTGCGGAGTGGGGCGGAGCGAGGGTGAGAGTATTCGGGGCAGGCGGGCAAGCAAGCAGGCTGTGGCAGGCAGTGGTAGACAGTGGTAGTAGACAGTGGTAGGCATTCGGATTTAGAAACGAAGTCGGGAACGCCGTGGAATCCTCTCGCAGCAGTGTTTCCGGAGTTCGCGAGTGCCCGAGGAACAGCCCGGCAGGCTCGCGAGTGAGCGACGTGTTCCGTCGGTTCGGTGCGAGCGAAGAAGAGGACTCACGGGGAGCCATGTGCGTGGACGCGTTCTAGCGATCGCTGGAGGCCCGAACGAACGGAGAGCGAAGAGGACCGCGGACGCGTCCGCCACGGCCGAGTACTCGAGGGGCACAGAGAGGACAGGGAGGAGAAGGCGCAGGAGGAAGAAAAGATGTCGCTCGAGGGGCCCGCTACCTCGCTACGGCCCTGGCCGAGGCCCCAGCGTCTTTTGCTAGCGTTTCTGCTGCTCTGTGGAACTTTCGGTGAGTGGGATACGTTTCTTTTCATAGTGGTTAGGTTCGCAGTGCGTTGTGTGTCGGGGTATGAGTGAGGGCCGCGTGCGCGCGCAACGCGTCCCGAGGCCGAGCGCCAGGGTGGGGAGGGGCCCCAGGGCCCCTGCCACGGATCGACGCCTCGCGTCCGATTCGCTCACCCGGTATACTGATTTATACCGTTGCGTACGCGGACGTCGCAGTACGGAATATATTGGGAGGAATGTATTCCATCGAGTATTGTTAGCGTATCGTAGTATTTGTAACGTAGAAATGTTTATGGGCAGTTTATTGAGAGAATTGTGGATTCGGTTTGGGTCGGTGGCCGTGATTTAATTGACGCGAGTAAACTCGGTATCTCGCCGCGTCGTTTCCGGCAACCTTTCCGCCATGTTGCATCGATATCGGTATCGACGGTGCTCGATAGTTTCTCGAAAGCCGTTGGACGTTGAATTCGGACGGGGCACAATGGACGTGTCGTTGACTCGCGTCGTACGGCTGAATGGCTGGACGGCCTAACGGCGACCATCTTCTTTCCAGCCGTGTAATCCAAAACCGGTAACCGGCTCTGTTTTTCTTGGGAAAAGATATCGGATAGCAAGGTATCGGGTCGACGCCGACGAAACGCGTACCCTGAGAAAACCGGTGGCGGACGTTCTATTCCGCGCGATATAACTCGCCGCGATACTTTCTCGATGCGTGTGCACGTATTCGCTCGTGAGAATCGAGCGCGTTCACGTAGTACAACGTAGTACAACGTAGCGCACGAGCGTGCTACAGTTTCCTCGCGCAGGAACGGCCGGGAACGCCGAGGAAAAGAAAGACTCGAAGGGGGAAACTGGACGAAGGAAACGGCCGAGGGATGCAGGGAAGCGTACGGGATCTCCTCGGTCGTCGCGCGATCGAGGCAACGAAAATCTGGAGCACTGTATCGAGGGTTGCGGGGTGACGAGGTCGCTGCCGTAAATCAGAGTTTAACACGTCGAATGCCGCACAATTTTAGCGAGATGCATAAAATGAGACTGTAGCGGCGAATTATTTCGCGGGGGAATTTTATTGTTGCACGGTTGACTTGGAAAATATTAGCAGTAGGTAGTATTATGTATAATAGAAATTTTAGCAAATAATTGTTGGTTGAATCTTACGTAGCAAAATGTACGAAATAGTGTGAAATTATTTCACTGAGGAATTTTATTATTATTGCATGTTTGCCTTGGCAAATATCACAGCAGGTAGCGTTATGTATAATAGAAATGTTAGCAAATAATTGTTCTTTGACTGATTGACTCTTACGTAGCAAAATGTACGAAATGTACGAAATAGTGTCAAATTATTTCACCGAGGAATTTTATTATTATTGCATGTTTATCTTGGCAAAAATCACAGAATTAGGTAGCGTTATGTATAATAGAAATATTAGCAAATAATCGTCGTTTAATTGACTGTCGTAATTATTCGACTCGACCATGGGTCACCGGTGACCCCAATGCACTCGAGAAGAGACACTCCATAAGATTTGTTCTAGCAAAATCATAGTCTTCCATAGAATACTAAGCTTCTTATACTCCACGAATACATGAATACTGAAACAACAAATTCGTTACAACACTTTGATTGCCAAGTAAACGCTCATCGAAACTCCCACGCAATCGAAGCAGTTTCCTTAATAAACCTGGAACTTAAAGTTCAATATTCCCCTTAACGATTGCTTTATCTTTCCAGTATCCTATGCATCCAACAAAATTTTAACCCTTTGCACCCTGTACACTCCACTACACCATTTATAGTATAAACTATTTTAATGAATCAATTTAAAGAAATTATCCTAAGGTTATTGGATTTCCTACACATGCAAATTTTGTATTAATGGAAATAAGATCTGAGAAATGTTATATAACATTTTTGTCCGCTAGGGGTATTATAAAAAAAAGTTAACCCTTAGCAATCCAGGTTGTTTTGTAACCTATCAGCTGCAACTAATTTTTATAGTATTCCTATCGAAAATTAGAAATGCAACATTTCTTTTTATTTTCCTTCTCAATGAAAACTTCGGATGCGTAGAAAACTTAATAATTTTAGGGTTGTTTCTTTGATTCATTCAAACATTCAACCCTTTGCGGTCCGAAGTGCTCTTGGTTCCTCACTTCGAGGTTCGCGTCGACGTTCATTCAATTATAGCTTAAATGACGCTCTATTTATTTATTCAAGAATATTCGGGAGTCATTAAATATAGAAAAAATCGTTAAAACAGTTGGAGGATGCAATAAAAGAGAATATCGAGTCTGCCTGGACATAATACTACCAAGGGTTAATATCCTGCAACATTCGAGCCTACAGAGAGTTCAAAGGGCGAAGTTCACGCAAATAATGGCATCACCGGGATTCCGTTGACGTGGCAAAGTGTCGACGTCGCTCGTAACTCATCGGAAACCGTCGAATATTCTTACTGAAAGACTTCCGAGCGCAAGGGGTTAAATACAGTACGCGAAATATTCGTCCGGGCATGACTCCATCGGGCCAATCAGGGTCGCGTCCCATTTCAGCGTAAAGATTCGGGAGACTCTCGAGAGCGTCGTGTCGGAGCCTTACTCGGCGTAATCTTAAACCACTGGCAGCCGATTTCAAAGTGCTCTCTCGGTGAATTCCTCGGATTTTTTCCGCTGTCTCCCTCCAGCTATCCTTCTCCGTCAATGTCTCCCTCGTCGTCGTCGTCCGTCGTCGTCGTCCCACTCTCTCTCTTTCTCTCTCTCTCTCGTTTCTTTTCCCTCTGACGAAAGAATGCAGCTGTAGCTGCGGCAGGGTAGGCAGGCAGGCCAGGCCGCGCAGGCCAGGCGAGAACCGAGGAGGCGTCGCGCACTCTCGTACCACCGCGTACGGCTTCCCTTTTCTTTCTCCCGTCTTACCCTCGCCGCTCGAGATTCCCGAAGACGTTGGACCGTGAACGAACGTAAACAAGCCGATCCGGATTATGCAGAACGCGCGGCGCGGCGTGTTCGCCGTCTCCGCTGCCCCGAATTATATTCCGCGGGGTCCAAGCGTGGCGCGGTGCGGCGCGGCGTGTTCGCCGTTTCCGTTGCCCCGAATTATATTCCGCGGGGTCCAGGCGCGGCGCGTTCGCCGTCTCCGTTGCCTCGAATTATATTCCGCGGGGTCCAAGGCGCGTGTGTCAGCCACGAATCTCCGGTGACGGCCGAGCGTTGTTCCAACGGCGAGCGAGGAGGAAACGGCCACGCGTTCGCCGAAGGAAAGACCGGTCGCGTCTCGGCACGGGGAACAATAAACCAGCGGAGGGAGTAACTGAAACACGTCGAGAGGGGAACCGACGCAGCCAGGAGACCGAGAGAGAGAGAGCAAAGAGAGCGTGCGAGCGAGTGAGTGAGCGAATGAAAGAACACGCGGACACGCCGGTTAGAAGGAACCAGCGAAGTCGAGGGGACAAAGAACGTTAGGCCGGGGTCGTGCCGCGGCGTTGCTCTCCGCGCGAAACGGGGAGCGAGATTGTTGGAGCCGTATGGGACGCCGTCTTTCGACTTATGCTCTCGACCCAACTCGGGACGAGCTGCTCGGAAAAATCGAATGGTACTCGTGGGTACCTCGAGGGTGGTTCTGTGTCTTTGGGGAGTTACTTTGGAGGTTGATTGTTAACACTATTCCTACCGCGACCAGTCGAATGACTGTTTTTAACCCTTTGCACTCCAGAGGCGTTTCTAAGTTGCCAAATGATTGGATATAGCAAAACTGTAAACTTTGATATTTAACCCTTTGCACTCGGGAGGTGACTCTCAGTCACCACTTGGTTTGCCGCAGTAAAACTACAAAGTCTGTTATTTCACGTCGAAATATTGGAATAAACTAGCTTCGTTGCTCAATGTATTTGTGATTTCCCTTCGAGTTACTTCCAAAGAATATCGTCTTTGTGTTGTGAAAAAATGTTAAATATTTCTGGTGAGAAACATCCGAGTGCAAAGGGTTAATATCAAACTTTGTATGATGCATCGATGTACGAGATATCGAAAGAAAATAGTTCTCTACCTCGATGCATGTGAAATTTCTTAATTCAATCTAAGAAGATGTCTGCATCTCATTAGAAAATATTGAATGTTTTCGGTGAAAAACTTTTGGAATGTAAAGGGTTTTTTATCACTTTCACGGTTGATATGTCGGTAACGGTTTTTTTTATAGTTTCATATAGTTTTATACAGTTTTATGTAGTTTTACGTAGTTTTGGTAAAATGGAGTGTCCATTGTTCCTATATGTTATACTGTATTTCACCCTTGGTAGCCTGGTTATTTAGAGATGGTAATTCAGGGGAACACAAAGGAAAACGGAGACGAGGATTGTAATCGTAGATGTTTTGAACTTACGACCTGCGGTACCCGCTGCTGCAACACTTTTAATAGGCTTCTTAATCGCGTTATTATAGTTAACGCACGACGTTGCGTTATTTTTCTTGAGAGGAAGACCATTGTCGACGAAGCTACGGGGATGCTACGTCTCCAGATATAAGTAGCACAATCCGATTTTTTTTCAGAGGAATCAAGTTAACCGTTAAAATAGTTATAATTGTACATAAGCAATACGTTCGACAGCAGCATTTATTTCGGTGAGGACCGTAACGGTTGAAATATTTCATTCAATCCAATAAATCTGCTAACAGAATATCGAAAAAGAACTGGAACGAGTTATTGAGTGATAGAATGCCGTAGCTTGTAACTTTAAATAACAATATCTGCGAGCTTCGTTTCGTTTGCTTTATGTGAAATATGGGATTCCGTTATAAATATGTGATCCACTTTCGAAATGAACGGTTCATATGCACTGCTATGTGCGTAGGGTTTCATTGAGAAACAGATCTTTACGTGTGGTCTTCTGCTTGTTCACCCCCATCGTGGAATCCTCGAAGCGGACGCTTTCGCGTTGGCTCGGTGAAACCGTCCGGAAACGGAGTAACGTGCTCGATTAGTAGCAACTTCATAGATTAGGAGCAACT